TCAAAAAATAAAGCAACAAAAAGCAGAAGAAAAAAAATCAATCCGTTCACTTTAAGAGGAGAAATTAGAAACATTGTGAGCACTTCAATCCACAAAGTATAGTTACAAAGAAAAAAAAAGCTTTCCAAAGCAATCCAATATGAGTTCGTTTCACTGCTCAATTCTTTTGCTTAAGGAACTAATTTGGCTTTAAAGAAAAAATTTCTTTGGGTGGTCTTTCACAAAATAGAAAAAATACCTCACCAGATGGACTCACTTTCTCTTCCTTCCGGAACTGTCCCAACTTCATCAGCCTGTGGGCTGCCTGTTTACTGCCAGCTTGAAGCGCTTCCTTTGGGTCAATCAGGGACTTTGTGATGTCCCTGAGACCAGCAAGGCTTTGTCTTCCTGATCACCGTCTCTGCAGGACGGTTTAGGTCTCAATGGACCATCCAGCGGCAAAAGTATCAATGGCGGTCTCAGAGTATCAAGACCGCATGTTGTGACATCACAACATTGGCTCCTTCTTTTCTAAATTTCTCTTTAATTAAGAATATTTGAAAAAAATAATGCCCCTTTTCTTCTCAGATAGAAGACTGTTCAGAAAGCCACTAGTCAGCAATGGTCTTTTAAAATTGTTTTGACCCAGGATCACAACTGGAAAAAAAAGAATATATGATGCATTACAATAACTGGAACACCAGGGATTGCATTGTTCCTGGTGATCAGAAATTGGTTTAAATTAAGTAACCCGGAAGCTTTCTCCATCCAACTATGTTTTTTTCCCTTGCAGTACATGTTACCATTTATTGTAAACCAGTGTGGCTCATTCATCTACTATCTCGCATTAGGATCCACAGGTTGGTCCTTAATTAGTTATTGCCAGTGTCAAGATTTTTTGGGGGAGGGGGGAGGGAACTCTGATCATTGTGGGGGATTACTCAGATACCTACTGCAGAAAGACATACTTTTAAAAATCTAATTTCCATTTATTAGACTTGTAATTTCTGTGACTGTATCACCAAAATGGGAATAACTCAATTCTTAATAGATTTCTGAGCAGGATTACCTAAAAAAAAAAACAACCACTGAGATTTCTGATGCACATTCAAAAGGAGCAGATTTTAATCACATGATCAAATATTATCTAAATTTCTTTGAACCCCACTTTGGACAACTTTGTTGCCCTCAAGATATGTTCATTGCAGTTCTTGAATTGAATTGATTGAAAGAGACCAGTTAAAGAATAGATAGATAAGTGAAGCTTGCTGGATTGATGCTGCAGAATCAAGTATTGGAAGTAACTGCCATCTTGTCAATATTGTCCTATGTAAAAATCCCTAAATGTGGAGATCTTACTAGCATGCTTTTAGGAAGAAGGATTTCCTACCAGAGTTACTCCCCAGCATTCACCAGCCGAACAGAACCTTCAGATGAAGTTTCCATTTGATTAGGGTTATCTCCTCAGTGGTTTTTATTTCTTTTGATCAGATGATTTTGTACTAAATGTTCCACTTTCCATTATAGATCTAACCTTGGCTGTGCCTCTTTGTAATTCCTTGGCCCTGGTCTTCACGGTGGCAACAGGGAAAGTTCTTGGAGAAAACATAGGTGGTCCAAGTAGGTGTCTAATGACTTGATCAGATGCAAATTCATTCCTCCTTGTTGCTTTGTATTTACTCAAAATGAGCAGGGTTGAAATTAATATTCCATGTTCCTCTCCCCCAAGAACAAAGTTTGCAGCTTTGGTTGATTTCCTGCCTTTTCTCTTTGGTAGGGGCCGTTCTGGGAATGGTCTTGGTAGTCTTGGGCGTTGCCATCTGCATAGCTGCATCTGGGCACAGAAATCCATGAGAGATCTCCAAAGAAGAGTGGAAATTCTGTGGAAGACCATTCTGAATCTGTGCAACTGCTAATGCCACCCTCAAAAGTTGCAGCATGGGGTAAACAATCCCTGGCTCCATGTTAGAGAGAGCATGGTTCTTCATATCCTGGCAATCGCTCCTTCATGCACTTGGATTCCAAAGGGCCCTGGGTCCCTAGATCTTGTCTTGATGTTCCTGTTAGCCAGAAACTTTGTGGGCCCCCGAAATTGCTTTAATGGAAGCAGCAAGATCAGGGGCCTCTAAGGGAAGGCAGAAAGATCTCAAAACTGAGCATTTACTGCTCAGATACCCTTTCTGATGCCATGTGGAACTTCTCTTTGTGCCCAGAGAAATATCTCTGAACTGTAAAGTCTTTTGACTGAATTGAACTGTCCATAACCAGAGAGCAGACCCCACTCCCCTCTAGCACTGATGATGTTACCTAGTTGGGTAATGAAACATCTGTAAGAAAATAACCAAGTTCAGGGAGTACCAAAGACTCCACAGATTGTACTTCATTTAACACGTCTTGATTTTACATAAATGCAAATTCATTCACTGCAGTAAACTAAAATGAATCAGTTGTTGTATAAACCCATTATTGTTTCTTTTCTCCAGAGCTTTGATTAAAGTATTTTTAATACAAGTTACCCCCCCCCTTTTTCAGCTTTGCAACAGCAATATACTGGTTGTATCCACCATTTTTTTACAATATACATATTATTATGCCACCTAGTTGCAACCATTTAGGTCTTGTTTATACAGTATCATATTCATAACTATCGTTTCCATATTTCTAACACAAATCTCTATATATTTATCATTCTAAACATTTTATTTTACATTCTTATAACATCTTACCATAATATTGCTTATGGTAAATTTACCGTAAATTTACCCCAATGTATGAAGTGAGAGTAGACAAAATTGTATGATTTGTATGATACTTTACAGGTAGTCCTCCACTTAGGATTGGTCGCTTAGTCACTGTTAGTAGTTATAGAATAACAGTTGGAAGCGACTTGTTGGAAGAAGACCTCAAAGTTGGAAGTCTTCTAGTCCAACACCCCCCCCCCTTGCCCAGGAAGGAAACCCATACCATTTCAGACAAATAGTTGCTAATCTCTTCATAAAAACTGTCAATGTTGGAGCATCCACAACTTCTGGAGACGTTCCACTAATTAATTGTTCTCACTGTCAGAAATTTCTCCTTCATTCTAGGATGGTTCTCTCCTTGATTTAGTTTCCATCCATTGCTTCTTTCCTGAGTTCAGATGCTTTGGGGAATAGGTTGACTCCTTCTTTATGGCAACTCCTTAAATATTGAAATTCCTAGTCCTTCCTTTTCTTATATATATTTAAGTTCCAGTCCCCTAATCATCTTCCGTTACTGACAGATCATTCTAGAGCTATTTATTTTCCAATTGCAAGTTTTGACAGTTCATGCAATTGCATTGTGGGCACTTGGCAACCAGCCTGCAATTATGGATATTTGCAGTGTCCCATAGTCATCCACAACATCTACCATGGCTTCCAACCATAATTCCAGACTCAATTGTGGTCATAAGTTGAGAATTGCCCATATTGAAATTGGCTATTAGAACAAATCTGGTGATTCTCTACCTCTCCTAATTCTTATAGTCAAATAAATCTGGAAGAGTTGTGACCAAGCTTCTTCAAAATATTACCTTTTTCCAGGACTTAAATAATTTTTTCATATGCACACTCCTTTACCTGTCAGTTTTTAAACAGTTTTTATTCATTTTAACAGTTTTTATTAGTTTATAATATAGCATACAAAGAAAATACAAAAGTAAATAGTAGGGAAAATAGGGAGGAAAAAGTGAGGGAAAGGGGGAAAAGAAAAAAAAAGGCATTGACTTCCGACTTCCTTTGGTGCAGTAGCATAAGGCATTAACGTCAAACCTCAACTTTTTACTTTTACATAATAGTATAAACTAGCCATTTCTAGAATAAATCTATCTAATCGGCAAAACTCAAAATCAGTTTCATTTTTTTCCACCTCAAGCACAAAGTCCAGAATCAGTTTTCAAACAGAAATAAAAGTATTTATATATTTTTTTCTTTGATTAAAACAGTCAATTTAACCATCTCTGCTAATTCCATCAATTTTTGCAGCCATTCATCCATTGTGAGGATCGAGGTGACCTTCCATTTCTCTGCATAAAGTAATCTTGCTGCTGTCAACATACATATATAACATCAAAGTTCTGGGTTTCTTTTCCAGGTCTTTTTCCAGTTAACCCAGAAGAAAAGTCTTTGGTTTTCTATGTATTTATATACACTTTAAGGATTTTCTGTATTCCAATAACAAGTCCCTTCTTTACATTTACATTTCCAACATTCATTTGAAATGCCTTTATACATTCTTGACAATTTACATGGAGTTAAACACCAACAATACATTCTCTTATAGAAATTTTCTTTTAAGTTATAGTTTAATGCAAATCTTTATTGCACATATTCTCCCATTGTTCAAGCTAAGTAAGGGTTTCTCAACCTCAGCAACTTTAAGATGATGGGCTGGCTGCTAAAGCAAGTTCATGGCACACACTTAGTAAGAAAATAAGGAAGACTAATTGGGGGGGGGGGGGTCTGTCTGGCAAGAATAAAGAATGAATGTAGACTTATTACAATGCATCATCTGGATGGTTCTTGGAAATGCGGTTTGGAAATGCGATTACATGTAATTGCTTGCCAGCAATTCTTTGCTTGCAGTGTTCCCAGGCATGTGCAAGGACACAGGATGAAACAATGTATAACTTGTAACATTTGCTGTTTTGAATGTATAACACTTGATTCTTTCATTCTGTGAGAAAACATGCACATTCTCACGAACACCAATGATGTAATTACCAACCAATTACTGTACCTTGGAGATTTGTTAACCAATAATGAAATAATACATAAAGTAGGTGAGAACTGAGAAACTAAGAAACTATATAAATCCTGTCATGCTCAATAAAGTTGCTGTTGATTCTGGATGCTCAATAAACTTCTGTTGATTCTGCTACTCATGGATTGTTTCTTTTCACTCATCTTCAGCCTTCGGGGACAAATGCAACAAATGCTTATAACAGGAAATATGCATGTGTAAAACTTCTAGCAATTATGGGTAGTTAGACAACTTGCAGACCTCAGCTAAAAGTTAGGGATGGCCTGCAGCAAATGAAATGTGTATTAGATACTCCTGGGGCATTCATTAGCCAAGGCTTAGGAATAAGGACAGCTAGAGACCAATAGAACAAATTGTAGAATTACTACTAAAATGTTTATTAGATGATATTTCTTATTATCCCGCCTTGTCCTGCCTTGTCCTTTAGTGAAAAAGTATAAAGCTTTCTTAGTTCTTTGTTCTTGGCCTTTTGACCAGAAACCCCTTTCCTTTTCCAATAAAAAGCAATCAGAAAACCTGCACCTAGTGTCTGGCATCCATCATTAGCTTCGGCACCAGGCTCAGACCCGAAATGGGGACAACAAAGATGTCTGACTCCAAATTCCAGAATTTCTCAGCCATCAGTGCCACACATCTTAAAAGTTGTTGAGGTTGAGAAACACTGGCTTAAATAATGGGTGCCACTTCCTTCCATCAAGATCATCTTCCTTACTCTCTACATCAGATGTCCTCTCCATGAATACACCTCTGTCTCCAATGAAATAGAATGAAATGAAATCCATCCAACCAGAATCTGGATGCAATCAAAGACCTCATTTGCATCTCTCTGGTAAAGTTGGAAAAAACAAGGAAAAACCCATGCAGTGCAAGATATGTGGTTAATCATCATAACCAATGGATGCATTTTCAAAGCAATTCTCCCTAACTTGGTGGAGGTCTGACATCATTTGTGATTTCATTGTACAGTTAAGCCCAAGATATCTGACGGTGCTATTAACGGAAGGAAAACGTGCAGGTTGCAAGAAGTAAGTAGCAAAGCTGGTGGGGGGGACAACCTTTGAACATAGACCCATCAGTTATCAACCTACCTGGCACTTTCAGATCTCCAAGGAGAAGCTTATAACAGTGGCCCCTCTGCCAGGGATTTCTGCAAAGTTCTACCATTTTCTAAAGCCATACTAAAGACTTTGTTGCCTGCACAACTAGTGCCTTGAAGACAAGGCCAAAACTATGGCATATGGAAAGATGTTGAGAAGGATGCGACACAAAGGTTCCTTCTACAAGGTGTGTCTAACCGTTTTGTAAGAATTTGTAACAGGCACTTTGTCAGGATAAGAAGTGTCATCAATAGAACAAAAGTGGAGAAAGGAAAGTCAGGAAAAGATGCAGAAAGATGTAATTTCTTTACAGATAAGCATGGCTTGGTTCTGGGGTGAGAGCAACCTAAGGACTCATTTCCTCATTTTGGCATGTGATTTTTCCATGCCTACAGAAGGTGGGGTGAGAGAGGAATGAAGAAGAAAGTACATTCTTTAACAAACTAATTCCAAAAGTTGCAGTCATTCAGCAATCCAAGGGCCAAAGACAGCAAAACTGATTTTCACAAAGCTAATCAGTTCAATTGAAAATCATCTTTTCAGAAAACCAGAAGACGAAAGCAAACCTCGTCACGTGGCTGTGGAAAGCAATTTTCCAAAACGCTGGTTGCAAACAGCCCCCTTTACAGGCCTTTCTACACCCGGAAAGGCCAATTGACAGGTCTTATTTTGTAAGATAACATGCCATGTTGTATGAAGCTTTTCAAGGTTCATGGGCAGACTACAAGCACGTTATCCCTAGTAAAGCAAACTATTGCGAAGGGGAGGTGAAGGGTTTGCTCTTAAATCCCAGAAGTGAAAGGCTGGGAAAAGTCCCCTGACTAAGGTTGCAGCAAAGCGGCCCTTTTAAGGTCCTGGGAAGAGGCGGAGGTGAGGCCAGGGTTGGGGGATATTCCTGGGGAATCCCTTTCCTATTACCTGAGGTGGAGGGCCAGGAACCAAAACCTTTTCGCCCTCCGCTGCCACCTTTTGCCAATGAGGACCAGTGGTGCCTGATGGATGGATGGATGGCCAATGCTCTCAGCAATGCTATAAATCAAAGTGGGGGTTATTTATGCATCCCTCACATCCCTCACCACTGTCAAACTATTCACTAAGGCTGCACTACTATTAATACTAGTCTTCTCATCATTCCTATCACTCATCTCCTCCCACTTATCACTGCAGGACTGTAACTTTGTTGCTTGTATCCTCTTTGATTGTTGATTGTTTCCTGATTGCTTATTTGTACCCTATGACTATCATTAAGTGTTGTACCTTATGATTCTTGACAAATGTACGTATCTTGTCTTTTTATGTACCCTGAGAGCATATGCATCAAAGACAAATTCCTTGTGTGTCCAATCACACTTGGAATAGAATAAAGAATTCTATTCTACTCTGGTTTTCATACTGGTTCAGAATTCTGGGATCTGTAGTCCCAACCTTTCTAAAAAGCAGAAAGTGGATTTGCTTCTTTACTTGGCACTTGGATTCCTGTTTTCAAAATGCCCCCCCCCCCACACACACA